GCGGGGCGGCGCTGTGCGGGCGGCGCTGCCGCCCTGGCTGAGGCACCGGGATGCGGCGCGGCGGCCGCGGCCGAGCCGGCCCGGGAGCTGTTCGAGGCCTGCAGGAACGGGGACGTGGAGCGGGTCAAGCGGCTGGTGCGGCCCGAGAACGTGAACAGCCGCGACACGGCGGGCAGGAAGTCCAGCCCGCTGCACTTCGCCGCAGGTACCGGGCGGGGGGAGCCGCGCCGGGCCGCAGGGCAGCGCCGGCAGCCTGGGCCGCTCGGGCGGGCGGAGCTCGGGGGTCCGGGCGCTCCATCGCCCCCGAGCATCGCCTGCCCCCCGGCTCTGCCCGGCCCCGGGGCCCGCTCGGGGTCACCCACGCGGTGGGGGCTGCGAGCGGTGCAGCGGCCTCTGCTCTCGGTCTATTTCCTTTTCCCTTTTTCCTCTTTTTTTAAAAAAAACAAACCTCGGCTGGCCTTGAGGACATCTGGAGCGGGGTTTGTTCTGTTCATGTTGTGACACGTGAGCTCCGACAGGGACACTTGTCCCAGGTACAGTTCTCGTGGATTTCAGCAGGCCTGAGCGTTTTTGGAATTGCACCCATGAAGGTGCCTGTCAGATAAGCCATTTCTAAGCTTTTTGCATTCTTATCTTTAACAAGTGGACTTTGTTAATTCAAGACTTAAGTACGCAAACAACTGACGTCACAGAACAACTGCTTTCTCTGGCAGCAGGCCAGAAGATTGTATCCCACCTTTTCAGACAAAGACCTGACTGAAACTTGATTTTGTGTTGGTGGTTTTGATTTGATTACAGCCTTAGGTGTAGGACCCCAAGGCTGGCAGGCTGCAGAAGACAGCAGCTTCTTTTCGGCTGAGCAGCATGGATAGTAACAAAGATGTTAGCTTCTTTACTGAATTGTCTTAGAAAAAGTTTCTACTTAAGATGTCCTTTTTTTGTGTTAAGTAGTCTTGACTCAGACCTAAGAGGTCTGAGTTTTTGAAAGCCTCCTTAGGGCAGCAACATTTCGTAAATTTAAGAAACTTGATCAATAAGAGATCCCAGGAGACAAAATATCCTGTCAGAGGAAAACAATTTTGCAGCTATTCTTTTATATGCAGCAGTCCTGCCCGTTCACTAATTGACTCTGAACTTCTAAACAAATGTGTATGTTTTAGAGCCTTTTGGAGAAGCGAGGGGTTTTGGTTGGTTGGTTTTGGTTGGTTTGGGCTTCATTTGGGTGCCTAAAATGTTTCTCATTCAGTATAGTGACCTAGTTTATCTCTCTGGACAGGAGTGATCCGTCTTGACTTTAAAGAACTCCTGATCTACAGAAAGATTTTTGTTTGAAAAAATGCACAGCAATAAGTTTGCGTAGTTGTTCGACTGAATGTTGGTGTGTAAATGAGTAACACCACTGCCATGCTTAAGTGTTCTCCAGACCTGATAGAGAGAAATTAATTCCTCCTCTCACCAGACTGTAGGAGATGCTGAAAAGTTTCTGGTTAACATGTGGTATAAAATATTTGCATCATTTCTGGATTTAACACTCTTTACTGCCTCAGGTCGAACTCCACTGTTGTCAGCCCACCTGCAATAGACTCCATGTGAAAGGTGGACCTAAGTAACTCTCGAACTTGGGAGTTACTGTTTTTGTTTTGCTTTGCCTTTACCCCATTACTCACAATTAGAGTAATACTAACTTCCTTTGTCTTCTACCTCTAAAGGAATTCCATTCGAGGAAGTGAAAGCAAAAATCGGTTGTGTTCTTGCTTTGTTTATACTAATTGGCTTGGTGTTCTTAGAAAATACGTTACAAAACTTTTCTGACTAGTTTCTTTCAGTTTTGAGACTTCTTATATGGAAGAGGTGGGGTTGAAATACACTGATAGGTTTTGTATTGCCTTGTTTTCCTTTTTTAGAGTGGCATTCTGGAGTCTGGGCTTGGGTTCTATTTTTTAAGACTTTTCACAGATTTTACCAAGCAATTTAAAAAAAAAATAAAACTAAGTCCTCTTTTTCCATGTGTTATTTTGTAAAGGTGGATTTTAAAATAAAGTATATTAAAAAAAAACACTACGAGCTCTCCCTGGGCATGTGTCATTATCAGAGATAATACATATTGGGCTTTGGGAAAGGTTGCTCTTCAGATTTTGTAGTACACAACTGTGTGTGTGGTAAGTTGTAGTGAAGATTCAGTCAGGAGCCCACTCCCTTCACAATAAAATGGGCTCCATCCTTTCCCACTATAACTTGCATATACTTGCTCGAGCCAGTCTTTTTCACTACAGTATGTGTCAAACTTCAAAGTATCACAAGGCTTCAGGGACTTGGCAAGTACCAAAATGCCATTCCTGCAGTCTGAAATTCATCAAAAATATGAATGCCCAGGGTAGGGGAGAAGCATTGAAGCTCAGTTCTTTCTGTTACCTCTTTATCTCATCAGTTATTAGCTGAATGTCAATTGTGGTACATAGTGACTGTAAATAAATACATTTTTAATTATATACATTTACACATTTCTATTATGGTTTATAATCAGGAATTGTCAGCTAAAAATTTGTAGTTGGTCAGGGAGCAAGTGCAGTGAGGTGTTCAGTTGTCACAGATGGTAGAAGCGTGTCAGCTGGAGATCCTGAGTAGCCAGCCCTCCTTCTTTGCAACAAAAAAATTCAAATGTTCATGATGATAAGACAGTTACCTTGCAGGGTTGCAAGCTATGATCCCACTTTGGTGGTCTTTGTATAAAAGCTCAAGAGCCAAAGAAAATCCCCAGCCCTTAAAAATCACAATGCTGTGGTTTGAAATAGTTTTTGCAGCAGCTGACTAATGGCAAAGAGGAACTAATACAGGAGGTAGTGGCTGCCTGCCCTGTGTCAGCAAAGGCACTCCCTGCTTTCCAGTCTTGGTGAAAACAACACGAGGAGAGGCCATTGTGCGGTTTGGTCATTTCCTCTGTACACATGCATCCTTTAGAATGTGATGAGAAAATAATTCTCCTTCCATATATGGTGCCCTCTTGTACAGATGCTTCCACAAGGAAGTAAGGAATCCCTGCTGTGCACTCGGTGCTGGAGAGAAGTTACAAAAATTGGTGTGATGCAAGTGAGCCCATCTCAACACTAAATTAGATACAGGTAGTTGGGGGGTGTTGCTGTACTGGAGGTATTTTCTGAATGGATGCAGGCTTTGCACAGAGAGAAGCTGCAGGCTGCTCAGGAGCTGTATCTGATTGAACCTCTGTACTAAATAGAGGGATCTGAGTGAATTCTCTGTGCCTGTTATGAGGTTCACTACAGCGGGGTTTCAGTTATGGGGTTGATTCCTGCTAAGGTTGGCCTTTTACCTTCAAAAACACTCTGAGGGATAGGAATGCCTTGTGTACAAGAATGAGTGGCTTAGCTACCAGATGTGTAAATTTGGGATGGAGAATTTGATCAGAGGCTTTTCTAACATACTGCAGCAGTCCTGGAAAATGTTTTTTTGGTACTCAAAGAAGAAAATACCAAGCCGTCTGTCATCAAATAACAGCTTTGATGATGTGTTTGTAGAACTCTGGCACTTGCAAAAGTCTCATTTGTGTAGATTCTCGAAGAATTTAGTTAATTTTCAGTACGCATTCAAAGTAGAAGCAGAAGTTTTAAAGGCTTGAAGTGGTAAGAAAAAAATCAGAACACATTAAAAAAATAACAATATTTATAATACCTAATAGGTATTTATAAATACCGTTATTTATAATACCTAGTATTTTTATATATTTATAATACCTAGGTAGGAAAGCTAAATGTATTTAAGAATGAGAAAAACGCTGCATATAATTTATTATATAGATAATATGGATGTGTGGGTATATGTACAGGTACTGATTTTTTTTTGCAGCAGCAGAAATATGCAGTGAATATGGCTTACTGTGCCAGTGCAGAAAAATGGGTTTTGCATGGACCACATGTCTGATCCAGTTCTTATCCCAAGTGAGCTGAGCTCCCGTTCTCTCTTAGGACAGGCGAGGGGGGGTAGGTGTCATGTTGAGGCTCAAAAGTGATTTTGCTGTACAGTCTGTGGTTCTGTTGTAGGAGAAGTGCTAGTAAGCTAAGATTTGTGTTATTAGTATTGTATTTTGAAAAATCGAAGCACATCACCAGTATAGCCTTGTGACTTTTACTTGAAACCACCTTGAAGTTCGTTCTGGGATTAAAAAGTTTCACATAAACTGATTTTTGTAATAATAACGAATTCATGGTGAATGTGGTTCCTTACCAGACTTTTGAGGGAAGAGGAGAAAAGTTAGAATTTAACTAAGGCTTTTCTGAATACTTTTTCTGTCCTCTTTCTCTTTGACATATATGTCTACAAGATCTTCTCTTATCAAGTAGGATCCAGAAATTGCTTAATAATGGCAGTTGGGTTTTTCTGTGAGCTTCAGATGGTGAAAGTGCCTCTTGCTCCAAGAGAGGGATTTACTGAAGTCAGTTTTAGTGAAGAACATGCTATGAAAAGGTTGAGTG